AAAAAAAAAAAAAAAAAAAAAAAAAAAAAAAAAAAAAAAAAAAAAAAACAATGATGATTTTTCCCCGGGAACGCCCCAGGGGTTGTTTTGTTCGTTCGCTTGTGTTCCTCAGGTTTTTTGGTTTTCAATTGTTTTTTTGTTGTAGTTACCAAAGATTGATAAATACATACAGAGCGCGTTCTGACGTCCTTTGGAGGAGGGTGTGGTTGGAACCGGACCCCCCCCTCCCGGATGGAGGGGGAGGGGGTTCGAACCCCCCCCCATTTTCCCGTGACGGAGGAAAGGGCGGGGGGGTTCGACCCTTCCCTTCCTTCCCTCCTTTTTCTCTCTCGTCGGGCCGGCGCCGGTGGTAGTGGTGGTGGGTTTTTGTGGTGGTGGTGGTGGTGGTGAGTTATGGCGGTGGTTGGTTGTGGTGGTGGTGGTTGCTGTGGTTGTCGTGGTGGTGGTTGTGTGGTGGGTTGGTGGTGGTGGTGGTGGGTTGAGGCGGTGGTGGTGGTGGTAGTGGTGGAGTGGTGGTAGTGGTGGTAATCGTTGCTGCGTCCCCGCCGTCGCTGGCGTCAGCGCCGGCGTTGTTGGCCGCCGCCACCGCTGGCGCCGGCGCCGGCGCCAAAGGGGGGGGGGGGGTGAAACGCCCCCCCCTTCGGCTGCCTCTGGTCATCGTCGCTGCGTCCCCGCCGTCGGCGCTGCTGGCGGCCGCCAGCACTGGCGCCGAAAAGGGAGGGGGGGTTTGAACCTTTCCTTCTTGGGAGGGGGGGGGGGAGGGGGGTCGGGAGGGGGGGTTCGGGGGGAGGGAGGGGAGTCCCCCTGGTTTTGATCGACGGCGCCCAATGTTTGGGGGGTGGGGCCCCCCCCCCGGTTCGAAACGCGCCGCCGAATGTTCCCAAGGCAAGCGCCCGTGAAACGCGTTTTCTCATACATCAAGTTACCGGTTTCTGTATGTTATGTGAGGTTATTTGCTTGTTGTCCTAGATGACGCTTGCATGGCGGACGTGTTGTCGAAGACTGAGCATGCAGATGTGAAAAATATTGTTTCGTATTTATTCGCGCTCGTTCTAGCCGCAGCGCTACCCAGAAATTCGCTGCTTGGCGACAATGCCCTCCGTCGCTGGTGGGCGGTAATGGTCTAACCATATGTAACACATATATTTCTGCCCCTTCGCGTATTAGATCATCAAGATTTTTACACCTAGTGTTTGCCGCGTCCATGTTACAACCTCTGTAATAATTGCACAAGTCATCACACTAATGTTTAAGCTGTGGACATGTTCAAATATACCTACTGTTACCACTTGCTGTGTACAGAAGCCAAAAAGAACAGACACAACACAACAAGTGAGGCAACGGGTTACGGAACGCGAGTATAGCGCGTGATTCGACAAATTGAAACGAACATAGCAGAGTAACACTCGTTTATGGCTCCTGCTGACGTCGTCATCGTCGTGGTCGTTGTGGCGCTTGCGGAGGTGCTGCAGGCGGCGGGGGTGAGCTGTTCCGAGAGAGTAGACATGCTCAGTTGGAGAGTTTGGTTTTGATCCCTTGAACCGACCAAGGGTCCCAGGAACAGCCGAAGCAGCATCCCGCAATACCAAAACATCTGAAAACAAACGTGGTCCTGAATCCTGATGTTTTTTCTCATACAAAAGTAATCATATATGCTTTGAATGTTGTGTGTTCATTCGGCTTGTGTTGGTGTTCAATTGTTTCTTGTTCCTAAGGTGTTGTTGGTTTTTTCAGCTTGGAGAAAACACGTATTGTGTGTTCGTTTACCCATCGAAAACATAACAAAAAAACCTTGTGGTTTTAGGTTCGATGGAAAAACAGAAATAATAACAAGGGAAACCAAACAAAACAATCCCTGGATGATGTCCCCCAGCAAACTTCCCAGGGATTGTTGTTTGATTGTTTTGATCATGTTTTCCTTAGGTGTTCGTTTGTTGTTCAATGTTTGTGTGCTTTGTTTTCCATCGGTGTTTTTGCGGTCAGTTGAAAAAACAGCAGCACCTAAGAAAAACAAGCAAACAAGCCATTGAAAAACAACAAACCCAAGGACAACAAAGATAACACAATTCCTGGGGAACTCCCCCCAAAGACTTCCCCAGGAGTTGGTGGTTGGGTTGTTTTGCTTCCCTTCGGTTTTGGGGGGTTCCCAAATCGGTGCCGTACAACCTAAGGAAAAGCAAGCGACGCCCTTGAAGATCTCGCCGAGGGCTGTCCTATTGCTGGGGTGCATAAGGGCCGCGCGAACCTTCCCAGTTAATATGTGACTTGATGTTGTTAAGTTGGGGTCGAAAGACCGCTCGCCCCCCTTCAAAGAAAACAGGGGCACCCAGGGTTCCCTTCTGTGTATATATCTATAACGGAAGACGGGATCAGTACCCCTGACATCGCAAACGTTGTGTTCCCACCGGCATTCTGGAATTCCTGCGAGAAGTAAGGACGCCATGTGTTTGCATTGGGATGTTTGGGATTCTGGGGATCGGAGCTCTTGGGAGGGTTCTTGGGCTTGATTTTCGCTGGAGGGAAGAGAGGTCCAAACATCCGAAACATCCCGATGGAAACACATGGCTTCCTCATTTTTCATCTCCGAAATTCCAAAAGACCGCAAGACAACGCAGGGTTTCCGCACCCCTGACATCGCAGACCTTGTGTTTTCATAGGGTTTGCGTTGGCCGTCCAGGGGAGAGAGAGAGAGAGAGAAAGAGAGAGAAACAACAATTACGCTACCGAGGAACCCCACATACTTCGTTTAATCATTTGTGTTCGCACAGCTGACGTGCAACATGTGGACAACGTTCGCAGCCGCTACCATGCTGCTACCGTCGAGAGGCGCTCATAGTGGGACCACCCCCTGCGCACCCCATATGGCGTCGAGAAAGTGCCACGCCTGCTTTGTCCTGGACGAGAGGCGCGCATACCGAGACCACCCCCTGCGCACCCCCTATGGGGCCGAGAGCATGCCACGCCTGCTGTGCCCTAGACGAGAGGCGCGCATAGCAGGAGTCCCCCTGCGCACCTCCCATGAGGTCGAGAAAGTTCCACGCCTGCTGTGCCCTGGACGAGAGGCGCGCACCGGGACCACCCCCTGCGCACCCTTTTTATGCCGATGGGGTCAAGAGAATGCCACGTTTGGTGCGCCTTGGACGAGAGGCGCGCATAGCGGAACCACCCCCTGCGCACCCCGTGCGGGGTCGAGAGCATGCCACGCCTGCTGTGCCCTGGACGAGAGGCGCGCATTGGGAGACCACCCCCTGCGCACCCCCTATGGGGCCGAGAGCATGCCACACCTGCTGTGCCTTGGACGAGGGGCGCGCATGGGGAGACCACCCCCTGCGCCCCCCCCTTTTATGGGGTCGAGAGCATGCCACGCCTGCTGTGCCCTGGACGAGAGGCGCGCATAGGGAGACCACCCCCTGCGCACCCCTTGTGGGGCCGAGAGCATGCCACGCCTGTTGCGCCTTAAACGGAAGGCGCGCATAGGGAGACCACCCCTTGCGCACCCCCTGTGGGGCCGGGAGCATGCCACGCCTGCAGTGCACTGGACGAGAGGCGCGCATAGGGAGACCACCCTTTGCGCACCCCCTGATGGGGCCGAGAACATGCCACGCCTGCTGTGCCCTGGACGAGAGGCGCGCGTACGGGAACCACCCCCTGCGCACCCCGTGTGGGGTCGAGAGAATGCCACGCCTGTTGTGCCCTGGACGAGAGGCGCGCATAGGGAGACCACCCCCTGCGCACCCCATATGGGGCCAAGAGAATGCCACGCCTGCTGTGCCTTGGACGAGAGGCGCGCATAGGGAGACCACCCCCTGCGCACCCCCTGTGGGGCCGGGAGCATGCCACGCCTGCAGTGCACTGGACAGGAGGCGTGCATAGCGGAACCACCTCTGCGCACCCCGTGTGGGGTCGAGAGCATGCCACGCCTGCTGTGCCTTGGACGAGAGACGCGCATAGGGAGACCACCCCTTGCGCCCCCCTTTTATGGGGCCGACAGCATGCCACGCCTGCTGTGCCCTGGAAGAGAGGCGCGCATAGGGAGACCCCCCCCTGCGCACCCCGTGTGGGGTCGAGAGAATGCCACGCGTGCTGTGACCTGGACGAGAGGCGCGGATAGGGATACCATCCCCTGCGCACCCCGTCGTATGGGGTCGAGAGCATGCCACGCCTGCTGTGCCCTGGACGAGAGGCGCGCATAGGGAGACCACCCCCTGCGCACCCCCATGGGGCCGAGGGAAGGCCATGCTTTCTGCGCTCTGGACTGGTACTGTGCTGAGCTGTGCTGTGCTGAGCTGAGCTGAGCTGAGCTGTGCTGAACAGTGCTGTGCTGTTCTGAGCTGAACTGAGCTGAGCTGAGCTGTGCTATGCTGTGCTGTGCTGAACTGTGCTGTGCTGAGCAGGAGAAGGAGGAGGAGGGGAGGTGTGCGGGTGAGGGTGCGACGCGGCAGGGATGAAAACCAGACCCCCACGAAGCATGTGGGGAACAAAAAACAGAAAGAGAGAGAGAGAGAGAGAAAGTGTGAGAGAGAGAGAGAAAGAAGTCTACGCATATATGTATACATAATTGATCGATATGCAGAGAAAAAGAGAAAAAGAGAGAGAGAGATAAATAACAAACAAACAAACAACGTAAGAGAGAGAGAGAGAGACGAGGAGGAGCAGGATGAGGAGGAGGAGGAGGAGGAGGAGGAGGAGGAAAGGAAGAGCACCACCGTCGTAAGTGAATGCTGGTAAGAATGGGTGCTGGGGGCTGTCCATATGTGTATCTATATATATATATATATATATATATATATATAACAAACAAGCAAATACATAAATCGCGAATTCCAGCTCGATGCTTCCCCCCTGGGCCTTCTCAGGAGGCGGCGGGGCTTATCAGAAGCCCTCGCGCCTTCCGAAAAGCTCCCTGCGTCTTCGGGGAAGGCTCAGAAGATGCCTCAGAAGGCGAGGGGGACTTCCCAGCCTTCCGAGAGGGCCCGCCGCCGACGGACGTTGCCCCTCAGGTAGAGGTGGCGGACCTGGCGGACCTCCTGGAGGTCGCGGGGTGGAGGCCGCTGGGCGTGCAGCCCTCGGACCACCGCGCCCGCGACGCCGACGGGCTCTACGGGGTGCTCGACGAGGCGCGGCGGGCGGAGGCCGAGTTGCGGGCGCGGCTCGAGGCCGCGGAGGCTCGCGAGCAGGAGCGGCGGGTGTGCGTGCGCTGCGCGGCGGGCCTTGGCGGTCCCGGCCGCGCGGGCGCCTGCCCCCCTGCGCCGAGCTGCTGGGACGCGCGGGTGGAGCAATTCCTGTGCGTGGTGCAGCGGCTCTGGGCGCAGAAGGTCGGAGGAGGAAATCTCCTCCTCCTCCTCCTCCTCCTCCTCCTCCTCCTCCTGCTCCTGCTCCTGCTCCTGCTCCTGCTCCTCCTCCTCCTCCTCCTCCTGCTCCTCCTCCTCCTCCTCCTCCTCCTCCTCCCTCCTTCTCCTCATCCTTCTCCTCCTCCTCCTCCCTCCTCCCTCCTCCTCCTCCCCTCCTCCTCCTCCTCCTCCCCTCCTCCTCCTCCTCCTCCTCCTCTCCTCCTCCTCCTCCTCCTCCTCCTCCTCCTCCTCCTCCTCCTCCTCTTCCTCCTCCTCCTCCTCCTCCTCTTCCTCCTCCTCCTCCTCCCCTCCTGCTCCTCCTCCTCCTCCTCCTCCTCCTTCTCCTCTCCTCCTCCTCCTCCTCCTTCCTCCTCTCCTCCTCCTTCTCTCCTCCTCCTCCTCCTCCTCCTCCTCCTCCTCCTCTCCTCCCCCTCCCTCTCCCCCTTCCCCTCCCCCTCCCCTCCTCCTCCTCCTCCTCCTCCTCCTCCTCCTCCTCCTCCTCCTCCTCCTCCTCCTCCTACCCCTCCGCCTCCTTCTCCTCCTCCTCCTCCTCCTCTCCTCCTCCTCCCCTGCCCTGCTCCTGCTCCTGCTCCTGCTCCTTCCTCCTCCTCCTCCTCCTCCTCCTCCTCCTCCTCCTCCTCCTCCTCCTCCTCCTCCTCCTCCTCCTCCTCCTCCTCCCTCCTCCTCCTCCTCCTCCCCCCCTCCTCCTCTTCCAGGTGCCCATGCCGCTGCCATTCCCTCGCCTTCCCTGTTGGCGCCTTATGGGAGGCCCTTGTCGCCAACACTGGACTCGCCTCGGAATTCTGGTCAGAACGAACCCCGGGAGATGTCCGGGGAGCTTAACTGCCTCGATATTCCCGTTGTGATACGCAACACGTACCGTGTTCAAAACATATGTATCAATACGTCGCGTGTTGGTTCAACGTATTGGCCCACGTTTTGGCGAAGCTGTCGCGTCAGACATACGTTTTCAGTCGAAGTGTTGAGCTCCATATCAATGCGCTACGTGTTGCGTGTTGCGTATCGGGGCAGCTGAGCCGGGCAGTCGCGGCGTCTGGTTTCCCAGAAGGGCCAGACGCTCTTGCAGGAGCTGTGCAGCAACCTGCAGCAGGCGAGCGGGGGAGGTGCGAGCGCGGGCGGCGGCGGCGGCGGCGGCCTGGGGCACAGCGCCGAGGCGCTGCGGCCGCAGACGCTCGCGGAGGTCTGCCAACAGGCGCGGGAGGCACATGCGCGCAAGCCGCTGAACGTGGATTTCCAGGGCCACCTCCTGGCCATCTTCTCGTGGCTGGCCTGCGCCCTGCGGGGCTGCGACCTCGACTTCCTGCTCGGCCTCTCGGAGCCCCGCCCGGCCCTGCTGGAGAGCCGCCCTGCAGTGGGGGACGCTCTGGGCTTGCCGGACACCGGAGCCTCCGACACGAGTGCGGGCGCGGGGCGCAACCCAGACATGCTCCACGCGGCTGGTCACGCGGCGTTCGCGTGCTTCGCCCAGTCTGGCGACCTGGACTCGAGAGCGGGGGAGGCCGCGCTCGAAGGCCTGCAGGCCTGGGTGAAGTGGCTGTGCTTCCTGGCCGCCTCCGCCAGGGAGCTCGAGGCCCCCATGACGGCCACCTGTGCCCTTTGGGAGCTCTCGGAGCAGCAGGCGAGCGAACTCCGAGACAGGGAGGCTGGAGACCTGCTCTTCTGGCCTGCCCCCGCCATCGCCACGGACGCCGCCGCCCGCCGCGATGGGCCAGAGCCTGGGGGGGCCAGCGCAGTGCTGACCATCTCTGGCGTGGCGCGAGCGCTGCCTTTGTACGAGATGAGCCCCCGGCCACAGGAGCTCAGCATCGTCTGACCGATCCCCATCCCCATTGGGCCATGGGATCTTTCAGGCCCGCCAGGTCACCCGCCCTGGTGGGGGTAGGTCCCGCGAAACCCGAAGGGGTCAGCATATATCCCCATCAAGGGGGTTAAGTCGGCCAGCGGGACCAAGGCCATGCCAGTGGGGACAGGGATCGGTTCCACGATGCTCAGGAGCGGGAGTGGCTCCTGCCGCCTTTCTCCACGCTCCGCGTGGTGCGGGTGGTCCGTGGCACGCCGCTGCAGCTGGAGTGCGCCTCTGTCGGCTGCGCCTTGGACGCGGGCCTGCTGCGGCTGGCGATGCAGGACTTCCGAAAAGGCTCCCAGGAGCTGAGCCGCGTGCTGGCCATTCGGGTGCCGCCAGGGGTGCCCCTGGCTCGAGGTGCCCCCAGGATTTCCAAGGAGGCCCCCGCGGCCTCCACAGCACCCCTCACGAGGCCCAGAGAGCCCCCCGTGGGGCTCCAGAGTGGCGCGAGACGCTCGGGACACCTCGGGCCAGAGACACTCCTCTCCTGGCAGCACCCGCGCCGTGGCGGAGAGGGAGCGGGCCGCCGACCGGGCGCGGCTGCGGGAGGCCCGGCAGACGGCCAGCTCCGCCGCCGAGGCGATCCTGCGCACCGCCCCCCGCCCCCCGGCGCGCGCGGTGGAGGCTGGGGCGCGCGGCCACGAGGCTCGGAGGAGGAGAAGGGAACCCATATGGTGCCACCCTCGCCTCGCTCTCTCCCTTGTGGGGGGGCCTCCTGGGCGGCCCTCGAGGCCCCACCGCTGTGGACGCGCCTCGAGGTCCTGGGCAGAAGACGCGCCCCGGGAGAGGCCAGGGGGTCCGGGGGGAGCAGCAGCACATCGGAGCCTCTTTTTACCAGCCTGGAACATATCTCTATCCCTATGCTGGGCACCTTCTCATCACGATGCCAATCTCAGGGATTCCCTTATTTTTGAGGGCGAATCCCTAAGATTGCCATCGCCTTTTGGCGTGTCAATCTTAGGGATAGGGATACGTTCGAGGCTGGTAATCTTTGGGTTCCCCCATGGAGGCGAGCTCGTGAGGGGGCCGAGCGTGCGTGGCCCGCGCTCGCGCCGGGCCTCGGCGCGCGGGCGAGGCCGCGGGCCCTGCACGCCGCGCCCTCGGCCCACGCGGCCCGCGGCCCGCGGCCCGCTGCAGCGGCGCTGCAGGGCGAGGCAGGCGGCCTCCCCCTCCTCCTCCTCCTCCTCCTCCTCCTTCCTCCTCCTCCTCCTCCTCCTCCTCCTCCTTCTCCTCTCCTCCTCCTCCTCCCTCTTCTCCTCCTCCTCCTCCTCCTCCTCTCCTCCTCCTCCTCCTCCTCCTCCTCCTCCTTCTCCCCATCCTCCTCCTCCTCCTCCTCCTCCTCCTCCTCCTCCTCCTCCTCCCCCTCCTCCTCCTCCTCCTCCTCCTCCTCCTCCTCCTCCTCCTCCTCCTCGCAGCCCTGGCCTTCTCGGAAGGCCGCCCGCGTCGGCGCGCCCCGTCGTGCGCGCCGGCGAGCTTCGGCGCGCTCGGGGCGCGGCTCGGTCGGCCCGCCCGCCGGAGCTCGCGGCCTCGCAGGCCCGGCGTGCTCGTTTCATCCAGGTTGTCTCACTCGTTCGGCTCACTCTCGCAGGCCGTACGTATACCCTATACGACCACCCTTCGGGTGATAAGGAGGCACCAACGTCTCACTCGATCGGTCTCACTATCGATCTTGCTATCGATCTCACTATCGGTCTCGCTCGATCGATCTCACTCGATCGATCTCACAATCGATATCACTCGACCTATTTCATTCGATCGATCTCACAATCGATCTGCCTATCGATATCAGGATCTCACGGTCGATCTCATTATCGATCTCACAATATACCTCACATACGGTCTCACTATCGATATCACTATCGATATCACAATCGATCTCACAATCAACGTCATCATCATCATCATCATCATCATCATCATCATCATCATCATCATCATCATCGGCATCATCGTCATCAACATCATCATCATCACCATCATCATCACCTGGGCACCATCATCGTCATCATCGGAACAACCACCATCATCATCATGAACATCATCGTCAACATCATCATCACCATCGGGACACCATCATCATCATCAGCAACATCATCATCAGCAACATCATCGTCATCAGGACACCACCATCATCGTTATCATCATCATCATCATCATCATCATCATCATCATCATCATCGGGGCACCATCATCATCAACATCAGCAACATCATCAACATCATCGGGCCAGCATCATCAAAATCATCATCACCTCATCATCATCCTCGTCATCAGCATCATCATCATCGGACACCATCTTCGTCACCATCATCATCACCATCATCATTATCGGGACACCATCATCATCATCATCATCATCAACAGCATCATCACCATCATCATCATCATCATCATCATTAGCATCATCATCATCGGGACACCATATCATCAGCAGCAACATCATCATCAGCAACATCATCGTCATCGGGACACCACCATCATCGTTATCATCATCATCATCATCATCATCATCATCATCGGGGCACCATCATCATCAATATCAGCAACATCATCAACATCATCGGGCCAGCATCATCAAAATCATCATTACCTCATCATCATCATCCTCGTCATCAGCATCATCATCATCATCGGACACCATCTTCGTCACCATCATCATCACCATCATCATTATCGGGACACCATCATCATCATCATCATCAACAGCATCATCACCATCATCATCATCATCATCATCATTAGCATCATCATCATCATAGGGACACCATCATCGTCATGTTCAGCATCATCACCCCATCATCTCATCATCA